GTAATGAACTAGATTTATGGTACTAAGCATGAGTTTCGTCCTATTGGGCAAGCCTTAAATCCAACTGGATTTTCCCCAGGATGTAAGTGCCACCCGTTACTGTGCTTTTGAGGATATCTTGCCATTTAGTCATTATTGTGTGTAGACATTGCAGCTGGATAGGACGATTGGTTGTTTTTCTCCCTTGGCAACTTGCATGGCTCTTTCCAGCATTACAAGAGCTAGTCTAGGGAGAGGCTTTCAGGTAATTTCCAGACCTACTTCTCCAAGTTTTATGACCTAAATGTGGTATCTTCAGCAGTAGATTCTTCTTGGTTAGGCAACCAAGGGCAATGGTAATAGCCTGTATTATTACAGTTTAATTGCAGTTGTCATCATAAGAATCTTTGGTATTTCATTCACAAAGAGAAGATTCCCTGTAGAGATTAATAAAACACTTAAAATCAAAGATAAATGAAAGATTTTTTTAATGGTCTCTTTAAGGGAGCAACAGATTTATACCCCTGCAGGCATCCTAAACAAGATGTTAATCACAGCTCTAGAATAACTACATTTTTAATGACAAGCCAGGTCATGCCTTATGACTAGTCATGCTTGCCTACCTGTAAAATGCCAACTTTGCTAAAATGCAGTGGCTTAAAGTGCAAGAATGCTTTGGCATGTTGCTCAAGGTCGTGGATAAATTTTCTGTCTCATCAACCCATGTTCATTATCATGAAGCAATATTATCTGAAATGAAGTTTCACTTAGGGACATTTTAATAGCTGAAGTAAGCAAATCATTGAATTTTGAAAACTCTTTTCAGAAGTCATTAAGAAATACATATGGGGGAGATGGAGAGATGGCTTAGTGGTTAAGAGCACTGGATGCTCTTCCAGAGGTCCTGAGTTCAATTTCTAGCCACCACATGGTGGCTCATAACTTTCTATAATAAAATCTGATGTTCTCTTTTGTCTGATGCTCTCTTCTATCCTGCAGGCATACATGAAAATGGAACACTCATATACATAAATAAATAAATCTTTAAAAAATACATATGGATAATGAGATAGATATGATAAGTTCAGTTTAAAGACAACTATAATATACGGAATATGCTGGCTTACATTCTCATGTGAAAATGTTTTTAGGTGAACTTCACGTATATAAACTTCATTTACCAAGTTCATTTCGACTGGTTGGAGGAAGTTGCCTCTGGTAGAATATGCACAATTTTCTTTTCCTTTAAGGAAACATAAAATATACATACAAGAGATACGTGCAATATTAGTCACATATGCCATGGTAGCGCAGGAGCACATGCACACATACGCAAATACACTCAGACACAGGCACACATGGCCAGGCAGGAGCACAGAGATATACACACAGAGATAACACACAAAGGCGCACAGGCACATTCCACACATGTCCACATTGCAAAGCTTTGCTCTTATTGTTGCCACCCTCAGTGTGACCTCCTTTCTTGATTCCCAAGTTGCTTGTGGCCTCACTAGATACTCACCCCTTGTTTAAACCTTTGCACCCAGTGAATTACCAAAACAACTTTCCTTGCCAGGGCTTCTGTCATACTCCTGCTATGCCCTATAGATTCTACTTGAACTGCTATTTATTGGCACGGCTGCTGGTCTATAGACCATGTAACTCAAGGATCTCTTAATCTAATATGCATCCCTCCTAGATTATTTTTCTCTGCTAACACTATGGCTGCCTCTCTAAAACGCTATAAAGGAAATCTTATGCCCAGCAGCTCAAGTGTTGGAGTATTACGTATTTTCTTCCTGCAGAGCTGTGACTTAAAGATGTAGACACTCTGAATTCACTCAGGTGTTCTTTTACTAGTCATCAACTAGTGTGTGTTTGAAAACTGTGTATGTATGTCAGTTGATCATCCTTTAAAAAAATGTTGCAGCCAGCAGGTGGCTCAGTGTGTAGGGGTATCTTACACCAAGCCTGAGGAGACCAAGTTCAATCTCTGGGACCAACATGGTGGAAGGAAAGAACTTATTCTTTCAAGTTGTCCCTTGAGCCCCACATTCATGACTTAGCACAACCCACATACATAAACATGCTCACCAACATGTGTGCATTAAAAATAAAAAAAATATTGTTAAACATAAAATCTTAGTAACATTGATTGGTGCAACCTAATTTTTCCTTTGGTGGATGGTATATGAATTTTGTCATGCCTAATGACTGCTAAAAGGATGAGTTTAGAATTTCTTATTTTTATTATACATAAACATTTAATAATATGTTGGTATGCCCAAGGTCTGTTCTTTTAATTTTTGGTTATTTGTTTTGTTTTATTTTGTATTTTAAAGATCTCTGACAGCTTTTCATTGTTCATCGAATGAATTCTCACTTCATAAACCTGTGTTCCAAATTCCTGTATCAGCTCTCTCTCACACTGTGTCACAAATGGACAGAAATCTCATCCAGTTGCTGTATGGTACTGGTCTTGACTTTGGTTCGAGTTCTTTCCTCTGCGTTTACTTCATCCACCTCTCTTCAGACTCAAGCTTTATCATTACCCAAGGTCTTCCTCATAGGTCTGTTCTTGTGTCCTCTCTTCTGGTGTCACACCTCTTTGTTTTCCATATCATCGAGTCTGGTAATCTTTGTGAAGTAAACAGCTGTTCTGGAGATGAGCCTAGAGTCACCAGAAGAGGTAGACGACTGTGGCTGCAGAATACCTGTGGTGAATGATGAAGTGTCATTTTCAAACGTTATTTGGAAAGGAGCTATGTCTATATGACTTCTATCATGTTTTTTTCTGCTTTACTGAACGTGTTGGTTTTTTTTTTTCCACCACTGACAAACTAGTCAAGGAAGAAACCATGTTCCAGTTTCTCATTCTCAAAGAGATTTGCAAAGGAAGTTAGGCACAATTCCAGAAATGGGTAAAATATTCCATTTATTCTTACACTCTTATTCCTTTCATGTTGCTTCTGTCTGATCTGCATTCTGACCATGCCGGTGACATTTCCTCTGCTCCTTACAGCTAACTTGGCTCTCTCTAGTTAACTATGTTCACTTGAATTAAGTGTATTGTGGCCCCATCCGGTAGTTCCACTCAGTACCATCTGCTGTCGCCTCTTTTATAGTTTCAGGTATAGTGTATGATTTGATCTTGCATGTGATTAACTCCAATAATAGACCAGTGTTTCACTAAGGAAAGATATAAAAAGCACCCCCCCACACTTGAAATCACTTAACCAAGAACAAGTTCAGATTTGAACTATCTGACGTCGTGGTTCCTGTGTCTTCCTTCCTCCATCAGGCTATTGTATGAGTCTGAATCAATCAGCTCCTGTCTGAAGGTTGTCTGTGAGTTTGTCTGTTTCATCTCTGTGTGTCTGTGTTCTGTCTGTTTATATCTGTGTCTTCTGTCATTGTGTTTCTGAGCCTAACAAAGGGCTTCACTCTGAATTTATTGAACAGCATAGAAGCCATCACAATTAGAAGGAATGGGACACATTATAGAAACATTACAGAGTTTTTACAGTGGATAAGTCACTGGCTCCAACCACTCTCAACCGACCAGATAGCAAACAACACTACAAACAACATTGTTTATTAAGCAATATTTGAATGTTGTTGCATTCAATATTTATGGTGGCTTCTCATCTTAGAAGATGGCATTTAACCTCTATATTTACTGTTTTTATATTTACACAAGCATTCTGGGTCACCGGCCTGGAAAGAGTACAACATTTAAGACTACAGCTATCCGTTAACTTAGGTTGTAAAGTTGCTCACTCAGGGGAAATCAAGGCAAGTAGGTTGATTGTTACATTGTTCTCTTAAAAGTAAGTTAAACAAACAGACTGGCTACATGTGATCTCAAGGTGCATTATTAACTCTAGTTATGAGTTCCAGTCTCTTAGAATGCAGAAGATATTTTTTTATCACATTGCATCAACACACATGCTAACTTAACATATTTTCTATTATGAAAATGATTTCCATTAAGGTAAAGACCATAACAAACATTTCATATACTTACCACACAGGTTCATCTACCAAGATTTTTAATATGCTTATCTTTTATTATTTTTTAAATTTTATGTGCACAAATGTATTGTATGCATGTATGTCTGTGGACAAGACTCATGCTTATTGCCTGTGGAGACCATCAGAGGACGATGGATGCTCTAGAACTGGAATTTGAGATGCTTGTGAGCAAGCCACATGGGTACTGAGGCTCAAACCTGGGTCCCCTGAAAGAGCAGCCAGTGCTCTTAACTGCTGAGCTCTCTAGTCCCCAATATACTCATTTTTGTAAAACATAAGTTTACCTTGATAATTTTCTGTATTGCATTCAAGAAGCCCTGCTAGTTTGTTCTTAAGCTTGTCTATTAACCATGCACTTAATGATTCTGTTGTATTTATCTCCAACATTTAATTATACACTGCCAAAGATAGTGGATGTAAGAGTAGAGATTAAAATTCAACCAACATACCTAATAAAAGTTTTACATAGTTTGTGCACAAGTTACAATTTGTTAAACAAGCGTTGTTGTAGAGATTGCTGCATAATTATTATTCCTGTTATATGGAATCCCCCAAAGTAGAAATTAATTATTTAATTTATACTTTTAATAATTAAAATATAATTATGTGAGTCATTAATAATATTCTGGATTGTTACTGGAGAGAATTATTTCTTGGGAGCCTCTTTTTTATTTAGACTATACTATGTCCTTCCTGCACTGTCTTTAATGTGTGCCCTTGAATGGATGGTCAGGGACATAAAAGCAATAGGAAACTTCTTGGTAGATAATATTACGGCAGAAAACCAGGGACCGCATTTTGCCACTGAGTATAGCTGGCTTTTTGATGAAATGGGACAGCTTACTGCTATTAGCTTTAAATGTGTGTAAAAGGTTAATCACTTTCGTATCTCTCATGAATAACTCATCTCTTTTACAGGGCGTTGTTCACAAGTGAAATTCTCTAATTAATTTCCCCCTCCGTGCTTTGTTTTCTTTCTGCAGCTCTTGTAAATGTGAAACTTTGGGCCATCGATCGACAATGTTTTCAAACGATAATGATGAGGACAGGGCTCATCAAGCATACCGAGTACATGGAGTTTTTAAAAAGGTAGGAGACTTATTTTTTTCTTTCCATTTTGGAGACTTTGGTTCCTCTTCGAGATGCAGCTTTTTTGTGCCTTTATCTCAGTTTCAATTGCCTTTCGACGTGTAAAAGGTACAGACTTTGGCCTTGTGATGTTTCTGCTACCTGTTTTCAGGATGTCCGGTTATGTTGGGACATCCAAATTTTACCAAGTATACTCAGACGTAGAGTTTTCTCAGAGACACAAAAAAGAATTCATTCGAGCAAGAAAGGATGTCTAGTTCCTTCTCACGATTTTCTAGCTGGCGTGCTTACCGCGCTTCCTCTAAACAGCCCACTATGCCTCACTGAGCTGTCGCCTGTGGGTTTCCAGAGAAAGGTCAGAGAGCTAAAGAAGAGAAGATCCACAGGGCAGTTTATTAGCCTGGAATCCTGAGATTAATTTCCCAAATTAATTTATTCTGAGTTCCTTTTGTTACTCATAGGTTATTATGATAACCTAATATAGAATGAGATTTTTTTTTCTTTTTTGAGACAGGGTTTCTCTGTGTAGTCCTGGCTGTCCTAGAACTCTGTAGACCAGCCCGGCCTCGAACTCAGAAATCTGCCTGCCTCTGCCTCCCAAGTGCTGGGATTAAAGGAGTGCACTACCACTGCCCGGCTAGAATGAGGATTTTAAGAGAAAAATCTACTTCTCCTCTCTTAGAAGCTCATAGATATTCACTACCACTAAACTTTAACATATATTATTGAATAACTTTATTTTTAAAAGAGATATCGACAATTCTAGTGACTTTAAACATATTTTGTCTTGCTTACAATTTGTTTACAAAAAAAAAGGAGCTGGGCATGACTAAGCATGGAGAATGCTGGCTGCACAAGCTCAAAGTCATAGAGGAAAAGCTGGGCGTGGTCACGCACAGGTCTGCAACATCAGCATGATGGGAGAGGGCAGAGACAGGCATAGGATAGACTTGCTGGCCAGCCAGTCTAACTAAACCAGGTAGCCACAGGTTCAATGAGACACCCTGTTTCAAGAGACTAAGGTGGTGGAGAAGGATACCTTATGTGAACACCTCTTGCCTCGATGGTGTGCATGTGTACAACCCCCTCCACAAACACCATGTATACATTCACACATATGCATTTATTGTTTTATGTTTTGTTTCAATTATTGAATAGTAATGTGCAGATTATATGAAACAAAGAGTGTACAGTGAAGTTTCCTTTTTGAGGGCCGGAGTATTAAACTTAGTTCTGTGGTTTTGCTTTTTGCAAATATGTGGTTAAAATGGAACTAACAAGTCAAATTCATATTTTATTTCAGTGATACATCTTAACAGAGCTCTATTGAGGTTTCTTAAAATACAATTTTAATGTCCCTTACTTGGTTATTTCTGTTAATTAATTTTGTTTCTGCCTCATCTTTTATACATTTTTTCATTTCCACATGAAATCTTTTCGTTATATTCCTGCTGAAGGGACAATAAAATTCTAATTTGATATCAAGTAATAATATATTAAAATAGTTCGGTGTCAGCAGGGTGTTTTCTGTTTCCCTCAGTGTGATTAGATGAGGAGAGGTGGAAAAATAAATTTCTTTTGAAGTTCGGTATAATTTGAAAGGAAATTCAATTTTTGAGATGCCTTATTTATGTAGAAGGATATATATGTATGTATGTATATATATATATATATACATATATATGTATATATATATGTTCAATGGTGTGTGTGTGTGTATTGAGAGACAGAGAGAGAATACATATTCATTTTAAGTCATAAAGCACGACACTATTGATCTGACAGCACTCTAATACAAACTTTAGTCTGTAATTAATGAAATGCTTGTATGGAAGCTGGAGCTTGTCCTTTGTCTGGAGTATCTCAGCTTGAGTCCTTAACATGTTGATTTTAGCTTCCATGGATTTGTAATCTCAAGGAATTGGCCAAGTGCCAATCACATACTCTTTCAGACAGTTCTAGGGAGATCTTTTCTACTAGCACTGGTTTCAAGGATGGATGTGTGTGTGTGTGTGTGTGTGTGTGTGTGTGTGTGTGATCAGAGCTACCTTAAAATGTGTTTTGACTTTCTGAATATTAATGGCTCTCTAGAGTGAGTGATTTTTGTTGTTGGTGGTTAGTTAGCTTAAGGGAAGCCAAATTGACAGATAGAATAAAAGAGAAGTGGCCACTACTAACTTTGATGTCATTTTGCATTCGGTCACTGACGCTCACACTGTAGGCTAAATGGCACAGTGCTGCTGAGAGCCTAGAGAGCTGGCAAAGCGCCCGTCCCCATCCGTGTGTGCCTTAATCTTCTAAAACTGTGACCGTGATTTAATGACTCCACCTCTACAGCTCTTTGGTAGCTCACAGCTAGTGTTAGATTATTCATAGTTTCATTGGCTGGATGTTCTAGGCTGTTCTCCAGCAATAGCTGGCTAGGTTTTACAGCCAGGGCTCCAGAGATCCATCACCGAGTGATTCCCTGTGACCTTGAACCTGTCCTAGGCTTCCCTACCTCATGCTCATCTATCTGTCTTTCCTCCCAGTTGTCACTGGTTAAGTCTTTTTTGAATCCAGTGAAAGGCTTGCTCTCCCACGGATGCTGATCTCAACCATGAACCTGTCTTCCTTTGCTCTCTAGAGTTTCACCTCTAGAGGGGAATGTAGAGTTTCACTGTACATTTCTCTGCCCACTTTCTTTGATTATAATTCTGTTTGTTTTTTCTTATCCTTACTTCTAAGCTGCAAACTTTTCAGTGCAAGGGCTATTTCTTAGGCATTTTATTGTTTTCCTCGGGCACAAGATATATTGCTTTGTAGGTAGCTTACATGCCATTACACACTTTTCAAGGTTCATTACAAATGTTAGTAGAGGCTCCCACCTTTCAAAAAATTGTTTAAAATCTCATGATGACAGTCCAGCATTAAATCAAGAACAGTTTCCTAATAAGCGCGAACCCTTAGCTATGGTGCAGGGCACATGCCCATGAAGTTAAAATAGTGAAGAGCATTCATTTTTTACCACACATTACCAGGATAATTATTCTTTGCACCACTTATTTTTTTGAGGCTTTAAAAAAAATTCCATAACAGGCCTAGAGAATGGCTCAGTAGTTACTCGCGCTGGTTGCCTTTCTAGAGGACCTAAGTTCTATTTCCCAAACCCATATGGTATCTTTCAAATACCTGTGACGCCAGTCTCAGGGGAGTTGACGCCCTCTTCTGGCCCCTGAAGGCACTACACTTGTGCGGTGCCCATATGTACAAGCAAAACATTCATACGTATTTATAAAAGTAAGTTAAAGTAGAAGTGGGAATAGGGGAGGAAACATAAAAACACCCAAGGGAAATGATTAAAATATTGCCAAAACTCAGAATTTCAAAATCAATGAAAAAGTTTACTATGAATTTAAATCATTTATTGCCCTATTTGTTATTTTTAAAGCACAGTTATTTACCACTAATTTGTACAATAGAAAACAGAGTTTTGCATGGTCAAGTCAATACAAAATTTCCTTTATGACTTCATGTTTAGAAAGACTTACCTAGCTTAGGATTATAAAAAGATGGAATATTTAAAAGCTCTCTTTAATGCTCTCAGACAGGTGTAGGGAGTCTATTTCTCTGTGTCTGCTAAATAAAACTTTGATTTGAGGGTTTTTTTTTGTTTTGTTGTTGTTTTTTTTTATGTAGATAAAGAGGCAAAGCAATTGTGATAGTTCTTGGAAAAAATCTCTAGGAGGTGATAATACAGTAATATTCTATAATAATATGATCATTCTCAGTGGGAGTCTCATTTTACATTCTAGCACCTTCATAAGAGAGGAGCATCAGAAGTGGCTGCATTGAAAAGGAATCAGTCTGTCCCAGGGTCATCTCCCTTTGTTGTTCACAGTCCCCGTTTTGCTACATAAGTACGTATGTTTTGAGACAAGCAAGAAAACAACTATCTCCTCAAAAAGAATAAGAAGCAGTTTGTTCTGAGCCAAATATGAGTGACCATGACTGGTAAATGTGGGCTAGAGTTGACCAAGGCTGAGCCTGGTAGGTGGCACACACCTTGAATATCAAAACTCAGGAAGAGCCAGGCAGATAGTGAGATGCAAACAAAATAATTAACAAACCAAAAAACAGTAATAAGGTTGGCTAACCATGGTCTAATGTGGAAAAGTTGTCACAATGTTTTCAGTTGCAGAACAGGAATGCCAAAAATCAAAGCACTTTTCAAATACATTGGTAGAAGCATGAGGCAGGTGGGTTACAGCAATGCAAGGAAATTCCTTTATGATAGTATCTGATACTATCTGATACAGATAGTATCTGATTACATTCTTAGTTTCTGGGTTGATGGAAGTTGGTCCATAGTAAGTTAGTACAGCCTCCAAATTTCTACCAGATAGTTATACTGATGTCAGGTCAAACATAGCTAGAGGTAGACATCGGATGGCTACTAAGGAGGTAGAGATAGCGTGAAGTAGTTTTTCTACTCTGCAACACTCTAGCTATCAATGTTAGCCTTGTAGAATCTTTATCACAGTTATAAAATTATCTTTGATAACCTCAGTCCATACTATACACATACATTTAAATGGCTAATAGTTCTACTAGTAGAGAATGTTTTTTTTTTTCTTTTTCAAAGTTCAGTTTTATTGATATTAGTGTGTTTGCCCATTTTGTAACCGTCATTAATAGAGCTTGGTCCTCTCTTTGCTGTTCAATGCCGCAACAGACTGTGATTCTGGATCTTTATTTAGTTATCTCTAGTCTGTCTGTGTTACACATTCCCTGATGTAAACACAGATGTTACTATGCAAGCATAATGCAAAATAAGTCAAATAAAGTAACAAATAAGGAATAGAAATAGCTCAAGGGGCAGTGCTAGGAAGCATGGCAGGTTGGCTGTCAGTCAAACACTATTTTTGCCATTTGCTATGACTTCTGGAAAATGAATCAAATGTCTGCCATAGTTAATTTATACTGTTTCTCTATGAACATATCTTCTGATGCTACTCCTG